TCGTCGTCACTTCCACAAAAGAAGGATTCCTCGAGACTCAGGGATGAGGAGGGCTCGAGTAATACCCCTGGGACACCATTAAGGTCATAAAGGGTCGAGCAACCTACTCCTCGTACCCACCCAAAAGTACTCCTCGATGTATGGCGATGACGAGGGCTCGGGCATAGACTCTTTGGCGTCCTCGAGTCTTGCCCCCTCATCGCTAATCCTCAAGGTCGATAAGGGAATCCTCGAGTAGTTGACTACATACGTCCTCGAGGTAAATACATGTCATTTTGAGAATCCCATTACTTCCTCAAGGTCGATAAGGGGATCCTCGAGTAGTTGACTACATAGGTCCTCGAGGTAAATACATATCATTTTAAGAACCCCATTACTTCCTCAGGGTCGATAAGGGGATCCTCGAGGTAAAGAAGACCTCATTACGTCTTCAAGGTCGGTATTCGAATCAAAGCAAAATACATCAAAAGTCAGATTACAAAAGTTAAGAGCTCATTCATTCCAGAAGGTCGAGCAAAATACATCAAAAGTCAGATTACAAAAATTGAGAGGTCGGGGGTACAGAGGTCGGGGCTGGGGTTTATGCTCATATATGCCCGAGGGGAGGATCGAGGTTGGAGATATCTATCTGCACGTCGTCATCCTCGGGATCCAAGTCGCCCTCGCCTTCTCCAGCACCCTCATCCTCGGAAAGCTCGAGAGTGCCAGCGATATCGGGCACGACCTTCAAGTCCTCAGGGGTTACATGAGGAAGTCTGGAACGAAGAAAGGCTCGAGCCTCCTTAAACGCGTGCAGGTATGCCCCCGAGGCATACTCAGCCTTGATTTTGTCGCATTCTTCAGAGGCTTTGAATTCCTCCCATGCTCGCTCTTTTGCCTCCATCAGGGCTCGTTCCCGGGCCTCGTTTACTTTGGCCTTGATCTCCTTATTTTTCTGGATGAGTTCGAGCTTCAACTCCTCGGCCTCGTCTCTCGCCACCCCTACCTCGTCTTTTGCCCTCAGGGCCTCGCGCTGTGCTTCGTCTCGCTCCTTCTTCCATTGATCGAGCTTCGCCTCAAGCTCGGCAATTCTCCGGTCCTTCAGAGCCGAAGACTCTTCCATCGAAGCAATCCTCGACGATTGTTCAATGCCCTGGAGGTTAATACCTCGGGCCATGCTTAATGTCTGCACAGAAAAATAAACAAGTCAGGGTACTGAGGAGGTAAAGGGTGGGGAGAGAGAACTCGAGGAGTACCTTTATAGTAAAAATCTCGAGCTGCTTCAAGCCCTCGTTGAGCTTCACCCCATCTTTGTACTTGGCCACAATGTCTGGCACAAGATGGCACCTCTCGAAGTCACCATAAAAACTGGTAGAGTTGGGAAGAGGTTCATCCTCGAGGTCCACAACTTGAGGAGATGCTCGAGGAGGCGGAGATGCGTGGGATCCAGCAAGTGGGCTCGGTTCCACTGGTCGAGGACGGGAAGGTTCCCCAGGACCCCTCCTTGGGGGATCGACTTCAAGTTCTCTTAGCCTTTTCTTCCCCTTCTTCTTGGCTTGCGAAGGGGCCTGGGGAGGAACTTGAGGCCTGGCGCTCATGAAGTTTCGCAGGGCTCGAGGATCGAATGCCATTCCTGAAAAGGGGGGAAATGAGACAAACATATCAGAACGAGAATATGGTCAGATCCAACAAAATGCGAAAAGTAAGGGGAACGAGCTCTACCCTCGAGACCTCTCACATCAGCCAAATCTATCACCTCGTTCCCGATCTCTTTCATGTTCGAGAAGAGGGGCTCGAGCTCGACCAGCATCTGCCTATTCCTCTCTAGATCCTCGGGGCACTCCTGGCCCTCGCAAAACTTCTCGGCATCGGGTACCACCCATTCAGGCCAAAAAGGAAGATCGGGGTCTGGGGATACTACGTAAAACCAGGCCTCCCTCCAACCCTTAAGAGAGCTAGCCATCTTGGGGACCCTGAACCCTCCTATCGTCGAGAGATAACCAAAGCAAGTATACCTCGGGTGTTTCTTGAGCTCGAAGACTAACCTAGCGAGGTCGACCATAGGCTCGATCCCTAAATACCTACACGCTATGAAAAAATACACTAACATCCTCCAGGCGTTGGGCAAGAGCTGCCCCGGGCACATGGAATGCCCGACCAGGAGAGCCACGAAGAAAGGGTGAAGGGGCCATCTAAAACCAGCCTTTAGAGTCTCTCTAAATATCACGAACTCCCCTCGTCGAGCACTAACCACCCTCTCCTCGGGGTCGGGTGACCTGATATCACACAGAGGCATGATGCCATACTCTCTGGCAGCGGTTATAGCTAGGTGTTCTTTCAACCTATAAGCCTCGTCGGGGTAATCAAACAACGCATTACCACGAGCCCTAGGTCGGGTGTCGAGGGGAACAGCCATGGGGATCATCGTGTTCTCTAAACCCTCACCACCGCTCGACCTACTTGAACTACCTTCACTACTCGACATTATTTGCCCACGCTAAATTTTAAGCTAATGAAATAATTTAAGAGGTCTGGGGACTTACCTTAGTATGCCTAGGAGATTTCTGATCGAGCACGAGCTTGCAGAGAAGATTTACAGCAGTGAAAGTGAAAAATGAGGGGTAAAAGATGGGTATTTATAATGGAAGGAGGTGGAAAGCCAAGGGTCACCATCTATGACCGTCCAAAGTTGACACGTGTCACGGATCAAACGATCCATTTCCAACGGTCATATCGACCATTCTCACTCCCGACGACTGCAGTACACCCCCTCAAAGATCCCCGAGGACTTGGAGTGCGTGCACGGGGGCCAGTGATATGGTAGCTTTCAGATGATCGAGGCCCTGCCAGGTTCGTGGAGTATCTCGAGGATTCTATAGCAAGCTCGAGGACCAGTCCCTCCTCGACGACTCATAGGCACAATA